CCCCAAAACCCCAAAACCCCAAAACCCCAAAACCCCGTTGCAAACAGAGGGGTTGGAATTAGATCATCTAGAATAATCAGATCCTGAAAACACTTATTTCATGATTTTAATGAATGGAATTAGATCAAGAAGTGTGAGAAATGCACATTTAACCATTGTTGCTTAGTTCAATGTATTTTCAGTGAAAAGGCCATCTCTTACTTCTTCAAAGTTCTATGCGATCGTTGTTAAGGATTAATTTAGCCAATAGTGTGAAAATTCAGAGGGAATTTGGAAACCCTTCCTCCACATTAAAATTTAGAGAGGAAATCTTACCTTATTGCAGATATTCTCTCTGAAGAAGACACCTATATCTTTCTTAACGGCAGTCTGAGCTACAGATGATACCTCTTAATCTTACATTCTTTAGTAATTAGGCTCTTTTTATGATTGGTTATATTGCAGTATTCTGGATTTAAAATACAATGTCCTCTCTTACTATAATAGTCTGAATACACTATTTTTGCAAAAGCTTACTTTCTTTGTTGAGTGATTGGACTTCTTCTGTAGAATGACTTCCCTCTAATTTTATGAGCCTCTTTAAGAAATTTTAGGAATAAATCTTACTCTTTCTTAAGAAATTCTTGTTCTTTGAACCCATGTCAATCGCAAACTTGCTCCTTTGAGATTTACGAGAAGCCTTGAATGACTGGTAGCCGGTCTTTAAGCTCTGAGAGTTCACTAGAAGATTATAAAGGACATACTTGATACTTCAGAGGATCTACCTGATCCATATTTCGAATATAAATAAGGAGATTTTCTAGTCATTGACTTTGCATTTGTATAATTTCTAAGCTTTGACTTTACCTTTCTGTACTGAGGGTTGCTCTGAGTGGTACCTCGACAGTGAAGAATATAGTTGCCTTTTCTATCCTGTTTCATTCCATTAATGATCATTCTGAACTGAAGTTTATTTATATCATGGCTATCTTGAAGTTCAGCCAATTTCTACAAGTAAAAATGATGAATTATTTAACATTAAAAAGAGATAATGAATGACTTCTTACCAACATTTGAGGATTGTCAGAATAAAATCTTTCTCTCTTCCTCTGCTTCTCTTCGATCAACTTCTGGAACCCATTGGTTGAGGATATGGGTACTATTTCGTTAATTTTGTTGGCCTTCTTTGTTCTAAATTTCTTAAAATTATCCCTCTCTTTATTCTCTCTTTCAATATCCTGTTTCTGGATCTTCAAGGCATCCACCTGGTGGTTAAGAACCTTGTGGTTAATAGAGAATTTGTTGAGGATAGATTTACTTAATGTTTTCCAGTTCACTATATAAGAAATTAAGACTGGCTTCAAATATCAAGTCGAGAAAGTGGTAGAGAAAAATTCACCAAGAAATTGAAAGAGAATGGTTTTTCTATTAACCGTTCACTTGACAAAATTTTAACTCTGATGAAAATATTTAGCTCAGATGAATGGACTACAAGATACAGTTGTGTCTTAGTCTCGCTTCAATAGACAAAATTAAGTATATCAGTACCTGCTTCTCCCTCTCCCATAAAGTGAGAAGAGACTTTTAGATCGAGGAGGATATCAGAGATCTCTGAAAGTAATTCATCTGGATGATTGCAGACCACTCTCTGAGACTTATTTCTTTCTTTGTGAGCATTTAGGGTATCTTCTTCATTACATAGATCATTGTAGGCGCTATTTCTCACATTTTTTATGACATTGTTAATCTTATAGTCATGATAACTTTCTAAAGTAGATAAATTAGAAGATTTACTTTTGATTTCTTGTCTTTTTAGGGTATCTAAAGGATCTCCCTTGTTCTCCATTATTTTTATATAACTCTAATTCTCTATTGGAGTACGGGGTTTTGGGGTTTTGGGGTTTTGGGG